GACAGAGAGACCCTGTCTTCAAAAAGACCAAAAAAAAAAAAAAAAAAAAGTATTTGTTGAGTTTCTTAGAGAGTGTTGTTATAGAGAGTAGCTAAAGGGTAAAAATTATTCTTAGTCTTGATTTTTTTTCTGTGATCTATACTCCAATTTTAATAAAGCTAATGTATGTGAACAATATCTGGCCCAAAGATTTTTTTTTTTTGTGTGTGTTACTGGGACAGAACTCAGAGCTGCTCCTGTGCTGGGGGTGCATTTTACCCCTGACCTATATCCCCAACTCCAAAATGTTTTTTAAAAACCCATAACTTAGTGTATATATTAAGAAATGTCCAAATAACTGACTGTAGAAAGGCTTTCAATAGGCTGACCTTGATCTCACAGATATCCATCTCTCTCTGTTTTAGTCACTTTTCTATTGCTGTGATAGAAACACTGACCCAAGCAATTATAGAAGGAAGAGTTTATTTGAGCTTACAGTTCCAGGGGAATTACAGTCTGTCATGGCAGGGAGGCATGGTGGCTGGAGGTGGCTGGAGCAGGAGCAGCAGAAGTGAAGCTCTCACATCATCACGCAGGCACAGGAAGCAAGAGAGCAACTGGAGATCTGGCAAGGCTTAAGAACTCTCTAAGCCCACCCCCAAGTGACATGTTTCCTCCAGGACAGCCACACCTTCTAAAACCTCCCAAAACAGCACCATCATCTGGGGACAAAATGTCCAAATACTTGGAGCCTATGGGGGACATTTTCATTCAAATCATCACACTCTCTATAGTAACATACATTTGGTTAAGAACACTTAAAGTCTACTTATAGCAATTTTAAGTGTACAATATCTTGCTATTAACTATAGTCACTGTAGTTGAGGAACTTTCACACTGAATGGCTATGCTTATTTAATATATTTCCATCAACAGATTTATTTAAAAGCAGTGTTATTAAAACAGAATTTAAATGCAGAGTCCATCCTTCTACAGCATGTAACTGTTGTTTCAGCATATTCACATTGTTGGGTGAATATCACTGTGACCTGGTTCGAGAATATTATTCCAAAAAAAAAAAAATAAACAAAAAGGAAAAAGTCTGTAACAATCACCACATGTCCCCTTCCCCCCAGGATACCAGCAGCTACTTGTTTATTTTATACCTCTGTTATTTGCCTATTCTGGGCATTTTATATTAATTAAATTATGCAATATGTGAACTTTAAAACTTTAAATTTTATCTGTATGAGTGTTTTGCTTGCATGTATGTAAGTGCATGCAATGCCTATGGTTAGAAGAGGATGTTGGATCCCCTGGAACTGGAGTTATAAGTGGTTGTTACTCCCATACCAGTCAGCTCTTATACCACTATGTTATATTCTCAGGCCTGAACTTTGTTTCTTTTTAAAAAAATTTTTTTATTATTTTTATTTTATGTGTATGAGTGTATTGCCTGAATGTGAGTGCACCCATGTTGTGCAATGCTGCGGAGGTCAGAAGAGGGTTTTGGATTCCCCTGGAACTGGAGTTAAGGATGGTCTGTAGCCACCATGTGGGTGCTGGGAATCTATCCCGGGTTCTCTTCAAGAGTAGTCAGTGTTCTTAACAGCTGAGCCATCTCTCCAGCCCCAATAGATGAACTTTTTTGTTGTTTATTTTTTGAGACAGGGTCTTCCTGTATCCCCAGCTGACCAGGAACTCATTGTGCAGACCAGGCTGGCCTCAGTCTCATGGAGATCTGCCTGCTGGTGCTTCCCAAATGCTAGGATTAAAGGCATGCACCACTATACCTGGCCCCAACGTGTGAACCTTTATGTCTTTTACTTACTTAACATAATGTTTTCAAAGTTTAACCATGTCATAGAATTTCATTCTGGCTTTTAAAAATTTATGTATTGTGTGTGTGTGTGTGTGTGTGTGTGTGTGTGTGTGTGTGCGCGTGTGGTGCCACAGTGTGCATATGGAGGTCAGAGAACAACTTGTGAGACCATCAGTTCACTCCTTCCACCATGTAGATTCTGGGAACCGAACTCAGGTCATCATGCTAGTGGCATGAGCTTTTACTCCTGAGCCACCTTTTTCCTTTCTTCTTTTAAAGACAGGGTTCCACCGTGTAAGCCAGTTTGGCCTCCAGCTTGCTATCCTTGCCTTAGCCTCCCAAGTGCTGGAGTTGCAGGTGCACTGCCACATCTGATTTGTCACAGTTGTTTGAGGAATTGCCAAATCATTTCTAAAGAAGATATATAGGTTCCTTATCTCTTAGAGTTATTATGACAAGAAAGGTAAATTAAGCCTTTAAGCTACCACCTCTCCATTGAAATAATAAATCAGAAACAATATAAAAGCCTGTGAAGAAGGGGAGCTCGGTCTGAAAGGTCTGGCATGGGCTTCATTATGTCATTTAATCCCTGAATGCCCCTGACAAAACTAGAAGAATTGCATCAGGTATTTGTAGGTCAAGTAAATCAGATAAACTGTAGCTCCAACCAGAGCTGTGCTGCCAGATGCTATGTTTTATTATGTTTTTAAGGCACATGCTGTGACACATGTGTGGAGGTCAGGGTGTTGTTTTTATTTTAAAATTTATTTATTTATTTATTTATTTATTTGTTTGTTTGAGTATATTGCCTGCATGTATGGAAGTGCACCTGTGTCATGCAATGCCCATGGAGGTCAGAAGAGGGCGTCAAGATTCCTTTGGAACTGGAGTTATAAACAGTTGTTAGCTGCCCTGTGGGTGCTGGGATTCAAACCTGGGTCTTCTGCGAGAGCAGCCATGCTCTGAACTGCTGAGTCATCTCTCCAGCCCCTAAATTTATTTTTAAAATTTTTATTTATTATTTTTATTCTATGTGTATAAGTGTATTTCCCACTGGTATGTAAGTGCACCCGTGTCATGCAATGCCTGCAGAGGTCAGAAGAGAGCGTTGAATTCCCCTGGAACTGGAGTTACAGATGGTTGATAGCCACCATGTGTGTGCTGGGAATCGAACCCAGGTCCTCTGCAAGAGCAGCCAGTGCTCTTAACTGCTGAGTCATCTTTCCAGCCCCCATCTATTTTTATTTTTATATGTATGAATGTTTTGTTTGGGTGTATGTAAGTGAACCCATGTGTGCAATGCTTGTGGAGGCTAGAAAAGGGTATTAGATACCTGGAACTGGAGTTATGGATGGCTGTTAACCTATATGGGTACTTCGAACTGAACCCAGGTCCTCTGCAAGGGCAGCCAATGCTCTTAACCCCCGAGCCATCTTTTCAGCCCCATGATGCTATACTTTTATTGGAACTGATTAACACAGCCTCTAGCAGTGAGCTCTTTTAAACTTGTATCACAGCTGGCAAGATGACTAAGTGGGTAAAAGTACTTGTTGTGAAAGCCTAACAACATGAATTCAATCCCCAGAGCTTAGGGAGAGAACCAACATCACGAAGTTGTCCTTTGGCCCCTATATGCATGGCACGGCACATGCATCCTTTCAAAAGAATACAGAAAACAAGAAAATAAACTTGTATTAATGAACAGAATCAAAACCAGTTCAAAATCAATGGCTGTGGACACATTCCTGGACCCATACCAGGGCTCTTGTTCTAGGTCTGTCTGCCATATTATAATCTAAAGAGTTCTGATTGGTGAAATGTGCCTCAGAGCATCACACTAGTTCCCTACATGGTAATTCGGTTGATGAGTGCTGTGTGGTGATTCTTTTGACATTCTTACCAGATTCTGGAACATTATTACAAAGATTTAGGATCTTATGATATCAGCAAAAGCTTAAGGAATCTTATAGTCTACTTGAGCAGTCTCTCAAATGTGAAGGACAAGTTGTTGCATCTTGTACCTCTTACCACTGAGAAAGAGGCACAATGTTAGTAAGTCCTTTTTGATCTTGGGGACAGAACATATCATACTTGGGAATACCACTTGGCTTATTTTTTTACAGTATTTGGAAACAGCCTGTTTTGAGAGCAGAGAGAGAGAGAGAGAGAGAGAGAGAGAGAGAGAGAAAGAAACCTTATCAGCCAGAAAAGTCATATGCTAGAAATATATAAGGTCTCTGTCCATACCCTAATTGAAACCATATAGTTCTAAAGTAACGTCAAACCATACTCAGCAGAGATCTATCCAGCATTCATAAAACTGCTCCTTATTCTTCAAGTTCCTATCAGAAGTTGAAAACCTTATCATGGGTCATCAAGTGACTGTGTAGTTGGAGATGCACATCATGAGCTGACTTCAGTCAGACCTTCCCAGGCATAAGGGTTAGGCAATTACAGTGCCAGCTAATATTAAGATGAAAATGGGGGCCTGGGCAGATGGCTTGGTGGGTGAAGTGCTTGTTGTGCCAGCATGAGAACCTAAGTTTGGATCCCCTAGCCCACATAAAAGCTGTGTGTGGTGGTATGTATCTGAAATCTTCTGTAATCCCAGCACTGGGGGTAGAGACAGATGGAGCCTAGGAACTCACTGGCTAGCTTAGCTGAAATGTTGAGCTTCAGGTTCTGTGAGAAACCCTGTCTCAAAAAATAAGGTGGAGAACGATTAGAGGAAAACATTCAGAGTCCTCTGGCCTCTGTGTGGGTATGTGTATTTGCATATACATGTGCATATAAAACTCCTTCCATCCTCCTGCACAGAAGATACTGATTATATCAAGTGCTTGGAACTAGGCAAAGAAACTGGATGTCTTAGATATTGCTCCAGGACTGTGGAGCCCATTGAAGTCCTTTTCAATTCTAAGTTCAAAAGATAGGCATGGTCCCAGGATTATGTAATGGGACACCTGGGTTTGCATAGATACAGGTGTTTTGGGCCTCATTTCTTGGTTTGGGAGTACCAGGCACTGTGGGGATGGAGATGGTACCTGCATTGAGTCTTCCTCCAAGGAGAGAATGAGGTATAGAGTCTGAATTCTTGGGGTGCGTGTGGAGTCCCTATGGTATAGCAATTGCCCGAGACTCACGAAAGCAGGTCAGGTATTCATTGAGGCACTGGAGCCAATTTTTGTGCTGAAGGCCTTCAGATTGATAGGATTTCAATGTGGAACTCTGGCTGCTTAGAAATGACATCACACTGAACCTGCAAAATGTCATCATTCCCAAAAGTGAAGCTGTTATTGAGAGGCTGGACCACACAGAGTGTATTGCACATCTGACAGAAACATTGGTGGCATTGCCACATGCAAACCCAGGACTGGAGCCTGACTGCTGCCTCTTCTTCCATTGCATATATCCTCAGCATGGCAAGCCGTCGTCTCTGCATCTGTCTGTGCAGGATGACTCTCCACCAACACTGAATTACCCAGGCATGGAGGGCAGCGGTAAGCAGAGTTCATCATACCAGGAATCCTTGCCAGAAGACCTGGATCTTCCTAGCTGCTTGGATCCTTTTTATGCATTGTAGTTTGGCAAGATACAACTAACCAAGCAAAGAACAGGACGCTCAGTAAATTTCTTGCCTTTCAACATAGGTGGTTCTCTCAACAACCATCCCCTTTCTTGGTGCTTCTGAGGACACAGGAGAGATGAGAAGAGCTCTGCCTCCACCTCTGTCTTACCTATAGCTACTGGTACATCTATTCACCTTCTGAGCCACAGTGTCCTCCTCTGTAAAGTGCACTACCCTTGTCCTGTGACGCTCACAGGAGACCAAGGGAAAGACTTTTTGATCCTGAAGATGTTTTGTGAGTGTGAAGGACCAGAGGATCCTCGCTGCCAGGCGGCGGGTCTCTCTCTCTCTCTGCGGCTGCGGCGGGTGCAGGCGGGCTCTGCGCCAAGCTGCAGGCGGGCTCTGTGCCAAGCTGCGGGAGGCTTGGGCTAGCTGTGGGAGGCTTTCCTCTGCTCGTGGGTTGTTGGCCACCGACCCACAAGGGCGGGGAGAGCAGGAATGGCGAACCCAGAAGTGGCGAGTGAGTGTTGACGGAAGGCAGCTCTTCCGGGAAGACTGATCACAGGCTGGTCCCAGGTGCAATGACACACAGCTCCAGACACAGTGAACACAGCTCAGCCAAATTGGGCTAGCTGTGGGAGGCTTTCCTCTGCTCGTGGGTTGTTGGCCACCGACCCACAAGGGCGGGGAGAGCAGGAATGGCGAACCCAGAAGTGGCGAGTGAGTGTTGACGGAAGGCAGCTCTTCCGGGAAGACTGATCACAGGCTGGTCCCAGGTGCAATGACACACAGCTCCAGACACAGTGAACACAGCTCAGCCAAATTCAGTGATACAGCTCCGTTTATTAGGGGAAAAACTAGAAGATTTATAGTGTGGAGGCAGTAGCAAAAGCCTCAGTTGATAGGT